TGTTGCCCAAAACCGTAACTGGTATGTCACCCTGTTGCCTTTAGAGATAAACCAATTTGTACAAGCAAATGATCTGGCCTTAGTTTTCCAGTCCTAAGTTATACTGAAGATCACCAAAAAGAAATGTCCTGATATGCTGAAAAAGACCAATGAAACTTCAATTGAAGAAAAGTCCTGCTTTCTGTGGGAAGAGAAAAAGATAAACTGAAAAGGGCTAAGATGTTGCTTTTACTGAGGTAAAAAAAGAGCTTCGGAGGTAAGAAAGAAGAAAGGAAACAGCTGATGTCAAGACTCGCAGGAAGCTCTTGCAAATTAGGTACGCATCTTTCACTGGGCCATGCGATGAAGAAGAACTAATGACAGGAAAGCTGCTTCCACCTAGTGAAGTCCGGTGAATTTTAATTTAACTAAGTGAGCAACATGACCCACTTTGGAAAAGAACTTGGAATTGAAATCATTATTTCCGCCATCATCAATGAGTCAGCATACTGGGACACAAAACAATAATGAAGGAAGATAAACGCAACTGCAACAGATTTCAAGATGCGAAAGTTGTGATGATAATCATTTAACATTTCAATTATTTTCTTCAGGCTTAACCCTGAATCCCTCACTCACTCCTTTTGGATTAAAAATGTCCACTGAACTAAAATCTGATTTTCATGAACTGTGTCTAGGAGCTTTGTTGAAGAATGTGTTTCAGGCCCAAACTCTTCATCATTGAAAAGACCAAGAACTCTCTATCTATCATGAACACTGTCAACAAGTTCTAACAGTGAATTCAATACTGGTCAAAGAGAAAGATATCTTGGGGTTGAGATTCACAAACTTTTGCAAACTCAGGCGGGTCAGATGCGAAGGTCATCCACTGTCCTTTACTTGTGAAGCCAGGAGCCAGTTCTGAGAGAGACCAGGTACTCGCCACAGTGTAGCCTACACTACGACCAGTGACTGTTTCACATACACTATGTCGAGTCTGAAGAAGCCAGGCTTGCCTCTTTTTGCTCTTCCTGTCTGTGGCTACATCCTTCAGTGAAGGCTGCGAGGAGCACCGAGGAAAGTAACATTATCACTCACACCAGAATGACAGCCCACAGCATGTGAGGACATGTCTGCATCAGACAACACAGCATGGGGCAGAAGTCTCCAAGGTAGGACTGACTTCAGGCAATGAGCTCCCAGCGTTGGACGACAGCCCAAATTTGCAGAACACTATGTAGGGTGCCCAGGCTTACAAGTGAAGTGCAAGTCAGGTATCTAATCTGCACAAGTGTTTATGAAAACCCAAAGAAGCATCTACCCTTTTAGATTACTTTACCCCTCTAAATTACTTGCTATTAGCATCCATAGTGCCTGCAACTTAGGTGCTTTTTAAAGTTTGACCTGCTCCAAGAAATCCACAATAACATACAGTTCAGACCAAAACTATAGCTCTTTCCTTGAAATTCACTGAGGTTTGAATTTTCCTAAAATTTTCCTCACATACATAACTCAGCAGTGAGATCCAAGCACTCCTAGACTGATTTCCAAATCCATCCTCCAACAAAGCAAAATGCGTCTTTGCTTTGTTTAAAGC